ATCTATCTATCTATCTATCTATCTATCTATCTATCTATCTATCTATCTATCACAGCATCTTCTTTGTGTGTGACTAATTGTAATTAATTGTGTTGATCAATAACACGTGTGGGACCCTCAGTTCCATGTTTCTCGCTGTCCTCGTGATGTTTAGTGGCGGGACAGTGGAGGATGAGTGGGGTGTTCCCACCACTGCCCCTCCCCTCCTGAGAAACCGTCTCCATGTGATCTCTGCCTCCCTCTCTTCTGTCTCTCTGCGCTGGCTTTGACGTCAGACGTGCTCCTAAGCGGTTGCTATGGCAACACATTTCCCTATACTCCATCCCTCCCTCCCTTCCTGTCCCTGTCTGAGCTCTGGTAGGTCCACAATGGTACAGCCAGCATCTTGCAGCAGCACAATGGTTGCAAGGTGGTGAGCCGAGGAGGGGGGGAGGAGGAGAGTGAATCAGCATCAGCAGTCCTCGGTTCCGTCCGTTTCTCTGCTTCTTTTATTTCTTCATCACCTTCTTTTTTCGTATTTTTGTCTCTTTTTTCCCCTTGGGTTGTTTGTTTCCTCCGCCGTCGTCTGCATGAACGTTTCCATTACGCGCCCAGCCATGGTCTCCACGGTGTTCCTAGTCGGGATGTTTTGAACAGGACTGGTAACGGACTGGGATCGTCATCAGCTGGCACGGAGGAATGGTAAGGCCGCTTCAGACACCCTAAGGGTCAGACCCCCCCACATGCTCTCAGGCAGGCAGGAGGGTTGGGTATTGATCGGAAAAGAAAGGTTAATGAAGTCCACTATTATAGTAATGCCTCAGTGGGAAATAGACCCCCCCCCCCCCACACACACACACACATATGCACGCCCCTCCCAAAACCTCCAGCTGTTGTTTTATAACAACTAGCAGCATGATGGCGTCAGTCCTGACCTGACACTGAGCTCTCCATCCTCTCTCCACACCAGGCATCCTGTACACACCAGCTGTTTGTTTTCTTGTAAACACAAAGCAGGGCTTCATGGCATTGTCTTCAAACAAACAGATGCAAATAATCCTCCATTTTATACCAGGGAGCTTGACTTGTAGAAAGCCTGTGGCCAGATTACAGTCTGTGCTGCTTCTTGTGCATTTGACTGCAAATGGATGATGATGCTCTCCAAAAACACAGGCTTGCATGCTGTAATGTAGGCCTTCATCATGCAGGGCTGGCTGCTCTCTCCTCCCCCTCAGAAGTCAGCTGCTGCGCACCTTGTGCATTATGCAGAGCACCACTTATTTTCCCAGGATACAGGCACCAGCTTCTGGTCCGGGAACTAAACTCTCAGACAAACAGTCTGAATTACAGGCGATTTATTGATTTGTAGTGGTTTTTAATATTAGCTGTTGCCTGGATGCCAGAGCTGTTTGTGCTTTGTTTTGTCTTGTCGTTGTCAATAAAACTGAACTTGAGACACTAATCAAGTGTGGTGTGGGGGGGATTAAAAGAGCTGAAGCTAACAAAGGCAGGTAATTTCTCTAAATAAGCATTGTTTGGGAGCATTTGTTGCACTTCATTAGCTCCCTGGAAAGGTACTATCTCATTAGAAGGTAAAACCATCTGATGTATAACACCAGAAGCACAGGTATGCAGACATTAGACTGTGATGTTATTGGGGAAGGATCACTGAGTTTTCTGTTCCTCTTTGTTTGCTGTAAAATCCCAGTCACTTGCAGCCATGGATTAATCACCAGAGCTGTGTCGTGAAGTCAGTAAAGGTTTAAAAGGTGTCACAACAAAGTCCTCATGTTAGAGGCAGCTAAGTGCCCGTTTCTAGCGCCGTGACCTTGGGTGCTGAATAATTCAGGAGCAGGCTCCCATGCCCATGGAAGCTCTGCAGGGAACAGAGCTCAACAGTTAAACATATGGGGATGTTTTTGCAGGGGCTGATGCAATTACGTTTTAATTTTAAGAGTTAAAAACTGCCCATTTTCTGTGTTCACTTTCTGATCAAATATGTGAGGATACGCTTTAAAACATATATCGTTCATGCATTATGAAACAATCTGTTGTTCTGTTGCCAATGCAGGATTTCACAAACTGACAACTGATGGCACTGATTACCTGTGGGGTCGCTTGTACATACAATGTAGAAACATTGATGGAAACAGCCACTTGCAAACTCAGGTTATGCTGCCCCACGATATCAGGATTTCACCTCCATTTTTGTTTTGCAGATCTGGGAGCATCAGCGTGCTTATCTTTTGTTATGTAATAACATCAGGCTATGTTTCACAATCTGATAATAGTGGGAATGGCAAGCATTATCTCATGATAAGATGAAAATCCTTACTATTCTCCTAATCAGCAAAATTTTGTCAGGATCTCAAACAAATCTTGTTTGCAAAGGTTAAGTATCAATCAAGTTCATAACAAAAAGCAGAATAAACTTTGTACTAATTGATTTTAATTACTTAAATACCCCTAACTGTCATTCATTGGAGATTTCTGCTATAGCTACTTTAATTATAAGCATTATTATAAAGTAATGAGGAACACTGTCAGTCTCTGACCCTGGCTGAGTATTACTCAATACATACTGAAGTTGTTTCATAACTCTGAAGACGAAGATGAAGATACGTTATAAACAGGTTTAGAAAGAAATTACATAAGAAAATAAATGTATAAAATAGCGAATTTACATTCAATTTAGGTAATTCAAAATGTTCAAAGTGCAGGAAGATTTTAGATAATAACTGCTTGGAAAATGTAAGATGATTTATCATATTAAATGGACTGTACTTATATAAAACCTTTCTATCTTATCAAGACACTCAAAGAACTTTACACTACAATCTGTGTCCTCATTTACCTGTTCATACAGCACTCTACTAGATCTGTAAAAAGAATAATTGAACAAATCATTCTAAAGAGACTAATCAGTGCTTTATCATATTCAAACACTGATGGGACACACATCGGAGGCAATGAGGGATTCAATGTCTTGCCCAGGGACACTTTGGCATGTGACTGCTGGTGGATTCGAACCCCCAACTCTTGCATTGGAGGACGACTGCTCTAACCACTCAGCCACAGCTTCCCTATTAATAAAACCTATATGTGTGGTACCAAGCCTGCAGAGTTAGATGCACACATACTTAGTTTTAATTGGTGAAATATGCAATACAGTAAAGTATATGTTTTGCTTTTACATAGGCAACACTTGAGGTTGTGTCAACCTTGGTCCCAGTCTGCCCAGCAGCACATCTGTGGGTAGAATTAAGTCACCAAAGGTTAGAGATTGCAGCGGCTCAGGATCCATCAAAGGATTTTTGGTGGAGGAAAATCCAGTCAAATGAAAGAGCTACAAACCTGACGTATGCCACTAAATGTTCTCAGTACCGAAATATGAGAATTATTTATCAACATTGAATTTATTGTGTGTGCAAGGGTGAAATAATTGTGACAGATTGTTAAAATGATGCACAAGTTGGAGATTTGAGCAGTTCAAGTTATAAACTAAATAACTACGTATATGCTGCAGGATTTGTTTGCAGAACCAATATGTGTAAATATAAAGCCATTTTCTGTGATTATATCAAATGAAATGTTGTTGAAGGTGTTACAGATAGTCCAGTGGACTTCATTCTCATCCTAAAAAAAAAAAAAAAAGGTATAAATCAGATGAATGTGCTCAACACCTGCCATAGATGTGTGTGCTGTTACCAAGCAGCTTATTAAGTGTTAAGCAGCTCTTTAGAAATCTTGGTTAATAAAAGTGATCCAAGTAATATAAAACAACAACAAACAGAAACACATTGTAGGAAATGCGCTTTTTTCCCCCAGCTTTGAATGATCAAATCCTGCTGAAGATTTAGGTTAACAACCTGAAGATGAGCTCTCTCCACTTGTTTTTATGGCTGGGCCTGCAGCTTGAAGTGCTTCCCTTTCCCTCCCCTGAGCCCAAATGGGGAGGCTGCTGCATTTGGCTCAGGCTGCACAGAAACGGCGAGGCAGAGCTGCATACTGCAAGAGCGAGGCTGCTGAACCAAACGCTCACAATGGAGCTCCGAGGGAGGGAGGGGGAGGGGAGGAGGCTGCAGCTAGGAGGCAGGGAGCCTGGTAGGCAGGGAGGGACAAAAGAGAGGCAGGAAAGTAGAGGCTCGCCTGATCAGTGAGGATGGAGGGGAGAGCAAAAAGACCTGGTTGGATGTGAACAAAGCTGTGGTGGCCATTGTGTGACATCCACGAAGAGTGTGGCTTCCAGACTTTTGACAGAGTGAGCAAAAAGATGAGGAGAAGAGATGAAGCCAAGAGGAGTATTAGAGCGAGCAATAATAGTGGTGGTTGTAGACATTCAGAGAAGCACTTTCTGCTTCATCATTACCTCTAAAACACAATCAAGCTGCCAGGTGCAGACAGAAAACAGATTGGGACTTACATCAGTAAAAAATTACAATGATCCATCCATCCAGCCATCCATCCATCATTTTGCCTGCTTCTGGGTCTTGTGGGTCACTGATGCTCATATCCAGCACATTGTGCAAGAGGCAGGGGACACCCTGGACTGGTTGCAAGTCCGTCACAGAGGAGTTACAGCGATGAACAACATTAACATTGCATATAGAAGAATTTTGTGTTTGTTCAACAAAGTATGTGAATGAAGTTCAAAGCTATCAGGCTTTCTTTAAATGCAATGGTTCATTTTTTTAGGTGTTGGATTCTGTTGAAAGGTTTTAAACAATTGATATCCTACCTAAAGTAGATAACTCTTTAAAGAAACCCTTTCCAATGTCATGAAAACCGGTAACAAAAACAAACAAACAAAACAAGTAAAAACAAACTAAAAGAACATTTTGGGATTGAGACATCTGAGGATTTTGTACTATTGGTATTTATTGACACATATGCTGCTTCTTCACAAGCATGGCTTTAATCAGTTCACATCTACTCAGCATCTGCCAATTGTGCCAATGTGTGTTTATCTGCAACAGGTAAGATATTTATTGCATAAAAACTTTCCACTGAGCCCAATTTGAAAAGATCTAAGCTATAGGTTTTGTTGAGCCTGGTAACTTAAAGCTAACATTTTGCTCTGATGGAAACAATGTATGGGCGGCACGGTGGATCAGTTGGTAGAGCTGCCGCTTCTCAGCGAGTGGTCGCCCCGGTTCAAATCCCGGCTGGGGGTCTTTCTGGGTGTAGTTTGCATGTTCTCTCTGTGCATGTGTGGGTTTTCTCCAGGCACAATGGTTTCCTCCCACAGATCAAAAACATGCATGTTAGGCTGATTGGTAACTCTAAATTGTTCCTAGGTGAGAGTGACAGAGTGAATGGTTGTTTGTCTCCATTTGCCCTTTTCCATTAGTGTCGGTACAGCACGGTTCGGCTCGGCACATTTCCAATACTTTTCCACTAGTAATTATTAGTGGAACCGGCCCCTTTTCAGTACCTAATATGTGTCCCTGTGATGGACTGGAGACCTGTCCAGGGTGTCCCCGCCTCTCGCACAGTGATAGCTGGACATGGGCACCAGTGACCCCCATGACCCAAAAAGAAAGAAGTGGGTAAAGATAATGGATGGATGGATGGAAACAATGTACTCGTTGTTATCATGTTTTTGTTGTTGTTGTTGTTTTTGTTTGCTTTTCCTTAAGCATGGCCCATTGCCCCTCCATCTGCTCCTAGATAGCAGTCCTCTGCTCCACACATGTGGGCTG